ATTCTAAATTAGCCGACTGTGGCTTCTAAACATGTTTTCAGCGTCCATCGACGCATGCATCGTGATCAGCGTGGTCTAGACTACCTAAGAGCATCATGATTGTATTTTATTACACCTTGATTCGAGGTGAAAAACCACCAAACGTGCATGAGGCAAGCGAGACTGGTTCTGCGCTACTGTAGCTAGTATAGACGGAGCCCAGCTCAAGATAACTAATGGATTGTGGCCTCTACAATTTTTTTCAGCGTTCGTCGACTAATGTATCGTATTCAGCGTTCTTCAAACTACCTAAGGGCATCATGTTTGTATTATATGAGACATGGATTCGAGGTGAAAAAGCCACCAAACGTGCACGACGTATTGAAGCGGAAGTAGAATGACTGGTTTCAGACATCCTTTGCCCTACTATAGACGGAGCCCGGTTTAAGAGGATGATGCAATCTCAGGATAGACCCGTTAAATCGAGCACTCGGCTATCAGGTCCTCTGTGGCTCAGTCTAACGACGGCTGGGTACCATCAAGGTACAGAGTTCCGCACCTGTGTCACCGAGGTTCGAAGCCTACTGTTCGGAAAAAACAAAACACAGAGCTCTCATGGAAGAGTGGAGTCGACCACAACCCCACGAGAGAAATACCAGCGCACCACAAACATCATCAGACCAGGGACCAGGCGGGTCTCTGGTCAAAACACCAATTTCTCCCTCCTTGGGTTGTGGCCACAGAGGGCTTTTGCTATTTTTTTATTTGAACTTGCACATCGAAGGATGGTTCTCGATATATTTTTAAGGGGAGCTGGGAGGGTTTATTCCCACAAATAAGCCTCTAAGCCGCATCTGCGGTAGTAAACACACGCCCCTCTTTTACTAATGGGATCATTATAAAATCCTTTTGGAATCTGGTCAAACTCAGCAGCAGGTTGCTGTCTGCTTAATGTGAGTCGGAGTGCTACTGGTAGACTGTGATAGCGATTTCAAGCCAACGGGTCCGTGGAATATGCACATCGAACAGGTCACCTAAGAGTCACAACAGACCGGGATGATTGGTTTGGACAGGGTAACCCATCCTAGACATACTCCCCTGCACGCACGTGGTCGACTGTAATCTTAACGGACAGCGTTATCGGGACGAGATTCTGGCTTCTATAGCAGTACCTTTCCTGCAAGCTATGCATTGCTTTTATGGTCGACCCTCTATACTGCAAGACGACAACGCTAGTCCTCATAGGGCCAAGATTGCCACGGAGGGTGTAGAGCGGATCGAGTGGGCAGCATGCTCGCCAGACCTCAGACCCGCATGCCTGGGATGACCTCGGTAGACTTGTGTACACACGTCACCCAGCGACAGTGGATCTCCCATGATCTGCAGAGCTCCAGTTGAGGAATGGAATGTGATTCCGCAAGCTTTCTTTATCTACTTGATAAGGAGCACGAGAGCAAGGTGCACCTGTATTTTTGACGCGCGAGGAGGGCACACAAGATATTGAATGACCGAGTGCTTCATGTTTGTCATTTTCATTTAGGGGCTTGGTCTATACAACTGATGTGTGCTTGCGCTGTTTGAACTTCTTGTCTGTATGTCACTCTTTGTCAACATGTTAAACATTATGATGACACTCTTTGATCTATTATTCCTGAGAAACTTTGCTCTACATGTGTTACAAATCATTTGACCCTTTGTTAATGACGCCTTATATAGAACCCATCCATCAACTTCAGGATTAGAATTGGCCTTTATATGCTCGTCGTATCAGGTGGTCAGGTGTCGCTGACTTGGTTGATGCATCTTATCGTGTCCCATTTACGACGATTGATGCTCGTGATATCAATCACTCGATTGTCTTGTCCAGGCCACCATATAGCTGGAATATGACTATATTAAATCTCAATGCAACAGAGAAGTCAGTTTTGACTATTCCACGAAAGAGATTTCATACTGAGTATAGGTCCAAACAGCTGTGAAAATTTCACAAAGGAACCACTGAAATTTTACACCAATTATCAACGTTGCAAAGCATGAACTCCAAACAATTGTTTGATGTCATGCTAACAAGGACAAAGCTGATATGGATGTCAAACTATCTCTCCTCTGTCGCCAGCCTCCAGCCGCTCACTATTTGTTAAGCGATTTGTCACAGACACAATAGGATAGTCAGTATAACCTACATCTTCTAAGAAAAACTGTACCAATCACTGACAAATAACAAGCAGGCATCGGTGTTCATATTTGAAAAGGCTGTCAGTCATGGGTAACATACACGAATCACACGGAAAAGTGACTGCAGCCTAGGGCTTGAAACAACAAATCGTTCCTCTTTTACTTGCATCCCAAGTTATGGGCGGTCTATTCATCTTTTCTAACTAGCATTCACAAAACAACAAAAAACAAAACATATTTTTTCTAACAATATTGTTTTGGGGTTACTTCAGATGGCATTTTCAAACTTTTTCCACCTGTGTATTTTGTTTCAATATCGCTTCACTATATTTACCAGTTGAACAAACAAATTATTTTTGTTGCGAGCGGATTTTATTGCCCATTGATCAGCAAATTACACACAGGCGATGTCTACATTACACAGGAGGCACTAACTACAACGTGTAAACAGCAGAAATGGGCAATCAAGTGTTCAGAAAGTTCTTCGTCCACACAACTGAATAATTGCTTTGTGGTTACATCGGATCATATTTTTTTCAGTAACTTTTTCCACTTGTGTTTACTTCTTGTTTCGGACCATTTGAACAAAGAAAATATTTTTCTATGAGCGGATTGTATTGTTCAGCAAATTATACAGAGGCGATGTCTAAATGTCTAAAGGTGAGTCGCTAATGTAGCATCCTAACACAGAGACATATTGTGCCCTCCATTCTTTGAGTGGACACATTAGCCACAAACCCTGCGCCTTTTAGAATAAACTTATTCTTATGAGGAAATGCTTCAACTCTTGTACATAGTACCTATAGAGTGAGTGAGGGGTTAACACTTAGTAGACTTAGTTCTGGAGAACTTTTCTAGAATCATCGGTTTTAGCTCAGAATTTTCGAGCATCATTTTCGTAGGTAAATAAGTGTCATCTCACATTACCAGAATCTCACCAGAAGACCAGTACTGTGTAGGACGATCACATACCCTACCTAGCCCCAATCTGCAGGTTGGATTACTGTTGCTGAGCGGTGCATATTATCATCATTGTCTTTATTGCTTTCATCTCTGTCCTTGTATTATATAACCCCTGTACTTGTACTGCCACACATTTTTGTACCTTTGTATTGATTTGTTTACTAAGTTAATTTTCAAATACAATTTTTGATTACAGCGCATTTACTTGCTGTTTATTGAATGTACACCTATTTCGTTTACCGCCTGATGCCCGATTAACTTTTTTAGCTTCAACGTGGGAATCAGCACTATATAAACACGTTTACAACAAGGGACCATGCTAACACTGGATTTGCAATGCGACAAATATCGTCGTCTTTATAACATCATAGACATCCCCTCACTGCCATCGACCATTTTGACAGGTTCCGTTGTCTGTCGCTAGGGCTGACGTCCAAGTAACCATCACTGCTTAGATAACACTGGAAAGTACTTGAATCTGCAGTTTTACATTCAAAAGACGTTTCTTCAACACATGCTGTCGTGCAACTTTTCGCATCATCTTCAAACAATGTGAAGACGCGCACTGTCTTCTGGTTGTGATCCTTTATCCCCAGGCCCTTATACAGAGTCATGGTGTTTCCATACCTCTTGCAGTCTGAAAAATGAGTGAGATGGCTTTAAACTGCTCAGATGAATAATATCATGATATGATAAGATGTCAGTATGTAGTGGCAGTGGGTGAAGGTGTTCTTGGTGACTGACCTCGCCACTGGGTTTTACATAAATAGCCATGACACACAAAGGCTTCCGAGCAGACCCAAGGATTCAAACTAACGGTCATCGGATCCTGGCTGGGGGACTCTATAGAGAGTGTGTGAGTTTAGTCTTACGTCGTTTTAAGCAATATTTCTGCAATATCACAGAAAGGGACACCAGAATTATGCTTCACACATTAAGTTCAAGTGTTAAATTGAACCCGAGCCTGATCAGCAAACGCCTAACCACTACGCTAACCCACCACCCCCCATGTCTTGAAGACTGATCACTAAACTAGATATTGTTACAAAACTGCCTGTAACTAGAAATCAATACTAAACCTCTTCCACCAAGAAGCTCACCTTTGTCACAGGAGTTACTTGTAATGTTGTGGCTGTACCCAGGGTGACACAGACACCGTCCAAGGAAGCATGACGTCATAGTGATGTAGCAGTCGTCATCACGAGTGCAGTTCATGCCAATATCTTTAATTAAAAAAGTATTTATTAAGCAGTATATGTATTACCATAACACGGAAGCCAAACAGAGTCGATGAGTGAGTAAATGAAATCGAACCTGGGTCTTCCGCGTAGCGTGAGGTTTCAAATGATTAATTTAGAGACTATCAATTCGGTCTAACATTCATCTAATTTCCAAACACAGTAAGTTTATCTCCATTCTACCAAAACCGATGTCAAATCGAACTTCCTCGTCCTGCGGAAGACACTGCGTAATCCGGCTTGGGACGAGAGGCGAATTAAAGGGAGTGGTAGGTGCCGTTCGTATTTTGTTTAACAGTGCAACATAAAAAATATTCTGTCCAAAGAAAACAAACTTCTATTTATTCAATGCAATAATGTAACACCTAAGAGCTTGTTTTTTATAATCATAACACCACAAGACCAGCCTGTTGTTTTGTGTCCCGTGTTACTGTACCCCCCTGGCCACACCATAATGGAATCGTTTGACCTACTTATGTTCTTGGAAGTACACAGTTACGCAACAGTTTGAAATGGCGGATGAGCCAGTGTTTACATTTTGCGAAAGGTTGAAATTCGAAGTGACAGTGGAAACTACTTTACTGAATGTCGAATCTGAAACCTGAAGAATCGAAGAATAGACCCTATTCTGATCGACCTATGACATGTAACTCATCAAAGACTGTTGATTTATATGACCGGCTAGTGTCGATCATGATTTTACGTACGTGCCTCTACCCCAGCATGCGACGAAAGGGTGACAGTGCTGCTTTGTGTACATGCGACTAACTTGGGATCCCTTGGAACATTGTTCTCATCATTTGGGACTGGATTGTGGCCAAGCTTTTCAAAATGTCGAGCTCAGTGACAGCCTTGCAGGGAAGGTGTCAGAGAGCGGAATTCTCGTGGTTCAATTTTGGACATTTTGAACGATGCAACGGGGCATGATGGAGTATGAGTGGCATAAATTTTGTACTTCGCCTGACCGTTATCTTACGAATTTCCAATTCTAAACGGAAACAAATATATCCTACGATACCATTCACCAGGTAGGTATATGTTTACGAATGTTTAGCTGCACAAGTAGGGATAGATAGGGATGTATTTTTACAAGGTTTTCTGATTTATATGTTAGATAATGTTTGTTTATGTTTGGGGCTGTGTGTTGTAATTGAGTTTGAATACTTTTATAATAGTGAGGTTCCCTAATAATTGTGGAGGAGAAATCGTATAATTTTCGAGTTTTAATAAATGCTTTATCAGCATTTCCATCACGTCTGTTGTGTTGATATTAGTCATGTTGGTGTCCAAGCTGAAGTAGTGCGGCAGTGATGTATACGTGCGCAGTGAAGCGCCGTGAAATCAGACACATTGTCAATCCAAAATTGATACCGTCTGATTTTATTGATTGACCAATCAAATACGAGCTTTTCACGAAGCCAAGGTAGAATAGAAATTTACAGCGCCATCGTTAAGTAAAATTCTGAGCTTCCGAACCAGAGGTTGTCAACACGTGTCTGTTGATTTCATGACTACCAAACCCAAAGGTTATACGTGTATATTCCACATATTATATAATATACACTCACCAACATACACTTCACAAAGCGGTTGGCCATTCCTTCCCAGAGTGCAGCGCGAATTAGCGCCACAGGAAGCCTCACCACAAGCACCTGTCAGTGGCTAAATATACAAATATTTTGCATCATAGTGATGACCAGATCACATATACAACTTGAAAGTACAATAACTTCATCCCTATTACAAGTTTCTTTGTTTAACGCGGTACTCAGCAATAGTCATGGTTTGGTTGACACATGACATTGTGTCCCAGATGCGTAGATCGAGGCTCATGCTGTTGATCACTGGATTGTCTGGTCCAGACACGATTATTTACAGACCGCCGCATTTAGGTGGAATATTGCTGAGTGCGACGTTAAACAAGAAACACACAAACAAGCATGTCCTCGTTTCCTCTGTCAGTTTTCCTTCCTTAGATATGGAAGGCCCGGTTTTTATCAGCGCCCGAGCAGGACACACCTGCTTCTGAATGTGAATGTTAACACCTGCTTCTGAATGTGAATGTTAACACCTGCTTCTGAATGTGAATGATAACACCTGATTCTGAATGTGAATGTTAACACCTGCTTCTGAATGTGAATGTTAACACCTGCTTCTGAATGTGAATGTTAACACCTGATTCTGAATATGAATGTTAACACCTGCCTCTGAATGTGAATGATAACACCTGCTTCTGAATGTGAATGTTAACACCTGCTTCTGAATGTGAATGTTAACACCTGCTTCTGAATGTGAATGTTAACACCTGCTTCTGAATGTGAATGTTAACACCTGCCTCTGAATGTGAATGTTAACACCTGCTTCTGAATGTGAATGTTAACACCTGCTTCTGAATGTGAATGTTAACACCTGCTTCTGAATGTGAATGTTGAATGTGAATGTTAACACCTGCCTCTGAATGTGAATGTTAACACCTTCTGAATGTGAATGTTAACACCTGCCTCTGAATGTGAATGTTAACACCTGCTTCTCTGAATAAATGTGAATGTTAACACCTGCTTCTGAATGTGAATGTTAACACCTGCCTCTGAATGTGAATGTTAACACCTGCTTCTGAATGTGAATGTTAACACCTGCTTCTGAATGTGAATGTTAACACCTGCTTCTGAATGTGAATGTTAACACCTGTGAATGTTAACACCTGCTTCTGAATGTGAATGTTAACACCTGCTTCTGAATGTGAATGTTAACACCTGCCTCTGAATGTGAATGTTAACACCTGCTTCTGAATGTGAATGTTAACACCTGCTTCTGAATGTGAATGTTAACACCTGCCTCTGAATGTGAATGTTAACACCTTCTGAATGTGAATGTTAACACCTGCCTCTGAATGTGAATGTTAACACCTGCTTCTGAATGTGAATGTTAACACCTGCTTCTGAATGTGAATGTTAACACCTGCTTCTGAATGTGAATGTTAACACCTGCTTCTGAATGTGAATGTTAACACTTGCTTCTGAATGTGAATGTTAACACCTGCTTCTGAACGTGCATGTGAACACCTGCTTCTGAATGTGAATGTTAACACCTGCTTCTGACCCGAACCATTTGCCTGCAGCGGTCTTCATATGAACTTCTCTCGCTACACACCTCTGCAAATGATATAACTCCATCACGCAGTAAATGTGTAAACTGATGCTCTATATTTCCGGTACGTACTCCAACGTTTTCTGTTGATTATATAGGGAAAAGAAGCGACAAAACCCTTTCTACATTCATAAGAATTCTCTCCTAAAAGGAGAGCAGATTGTACAATTCTGATTAAATCATGTATTTGTTTCAGCAGTATTATGATGTAGGATGTTGTTTGTAAACAATCGAGTCTGGACCAGACAATCCGGTGATTGTCACCATGCGATAAGATGACAGAGCTTGTGTTTACGAATCACTATGAGATATTGGTATACCAGGTGGCTATGAAAATGTGAGCGTATCCTTCCCTACCGGTTTCATGTGTCATAAGCATATGCAAAGTTAGTTGTTCCCCTGAAATAATTCAAGGCAAAATAGGAGTTGCATTCGACATCATGTTAGCCACTGATGCATCAGATTTGGAAATGCCCTCCAAATGTCTACCATAAAACGATTTGAAAGCTTTCCTGAGGCCTAATATTGTTGATCGAATAACTTCTGAGCTAGAACTGTATGACGCGTTTTGAATCTGTGGAAACAAACGACGGTATCTGTTCAAACGTGACTGGGAGTAGATCAAACCATTGATACAAACCATTTTCCAGTCGTGGATGTTGCTAAAGAAGACGCCACTGCCCACAGTAAAACTGCTGTCTGTCTTTGCCTTTTTCTCGGTCAGTCGTTGACATGTCTCTTTCTCAGGATCAAAGGTGAAGGACAGACACAGCGGAGACAGTTTGCATTTAGCAGCGCAGTCGTACATAGAGGGCGCAACAACAGACCGGATGTAACCATGAGCCTTTTCAGGAACAACTTCCTGCATGGGAGGATGTGAACAGTCGTCATTACTCGCCTGCAGTGCCAGGGACAGGGCACAAAGAGAGACAGCGGCCACGAGTATGGCAGACATCAGTGCCTAGGCACTGAAAGTAGAATTTTGTCAAAGACTGGTTTGATTGTCAAACAAAGTTCGATTACCCACATGTGGGCACAATACGTGAAGCCCAAGTCTGGTGTCTCGCGGTCATATTTCTGAAATATTGGTAGTGAAATTCACTGGTAGTGAAATTCAGGCCAGATCATTCCTACCTTATCAAGATACAAACAAGGTGGATGTATCCACTCCATGTAATCGTCATTTTCCTCCGAACTAATTCCGCTGCCAGATGTATCACCCACACTCCCCGTCATGACCATATCACCCCAGTTCTACAGTCTCTACACATGCTCCCGTTCTCTGCCATTCTCTTCCCACAGAGGTTACTTGTCATATCTTCCTACGTAACCTCTGTTCTAATACGGCCATGTTTCCCGGTTCTCGTAAAATCCCCTAGCGGCAAAAGATCGCAACACGAATTATCTCCCTTCTTTCTATCCAATCAGAACACGTGTTACATCGACTTAGATTCAACTTGACTAACACAAGCAAATGTGGGGCCACAAATATCCCCAATCTGCCGGGGACTTGTGTTGATGTTACACACAAGACGTTTAATGGCTAACTTGTCCGTTGTCAACGAGGGCGATGGAGACGCCACTGATCCGCCATAACATGACTGAGTTCTGTCTATAAGAAACGTTTGCGCATCGCGCAGGGGAAGGGTTTAGTTTTCTCGAAGCATACGGAAATTACCGAGGCCTTGCGAATGATCACTTTTGAAACAACGTCGCTGATTGCACAACTAAATCTGATTGCCTCCCAATCACGAGTCTTGAACGCTCACACCATGAAAGGGACGTATTAGAACAGAGGTTACGTAGGAAGATATGACAGGAGTAACCTCTGTGGGAAGAGAATGGTTCTCTGCAAGAATTTCCTTCAAAATCTTCAATCCCTTATGACTCATGACTGCCTCCACAACGATATCTCAAACGACTATCTCAAACAACTCTTCTCTGGGTATATACCCCAGCGAAGTGTCCGATCATCCAAACTCTCTCCTCACCCAACACAGTAAGCTTTTAACGTCACATTGGTTGTATTTCAGCCATATCGTGACGAGAATAATCTATACATTAAACCAAAATAATCTATACCTTATAAACCTGTCGTCGAAGAACAATAAAAATACAAGAATATCACAGATTTACTATATTGTAATAAGTTCTATTACTACAGAAAACAATGCAAAATAAAAACAGGCTACCGATCGTCAACGACTGAAGATAGATAACCATACCTGGGACCATGGGGACTTGTAAAATATTTGCTTCCTGTATAGATCTCAGCTGGATTTACACCATTCCCTCAGGTGTTGGCGATATTTTGGAAAGTTAGCCAATCATTAAAAGAACAATTATTCTACAATTCAAACGGTGGAAGAAATGGGGCTTATGTAACCTCTTAGGGGGGGACAAAAATTTTACGGTACTTCAACCCCAATGTAATTCTTTTTTTTAAAATCCAAGATTAAGTGACAATGAACGTTGTTAAATCGATCCTCTATCATTTTGACACTACAACATTTATCCTTTGTGATGGCAAACACCCAATACAGATCTCCAAACCAACTGTCTGCCCGTGCTTTTTCCTTTACCAGCGGGCGGTGCGGTAGTTTAGTGGTTAAAGCGTTGGCTCGTCACGTCAAAGACCCGGGTTCGAATCCCCACATGGGTACAATGTGTGAAGCCCATTTCTGGTGCCCCCCGCCTTGATGTTGCTGAAATATTGCTAAAAGCGGCGTAAAACCAAAACTCAGTCAGTCAGTCCTTTGCCAGCTCTCCAATGTGGAACTCTCTTACAAGAGAAATAATGAATACTTCATCGAATAATCTTTTAAATCTCTGCTAAAAATCCATCTGTTCACTTCTGCCTTTCTGTAAAACCCACATGAACTTTTTCTTTCCCCAATATTGTCACAGCGACACTGAGCACCTCTATAATGGATATTAGGCACTTTATAAATCGTAACATATAGCTCCTTCCCGTCTTCTTTCTTCTCCTCCTTGGCAGTTGGTTAGGCCACACGTTGACCTAACTTTAACATCATTTATAAAAGCAGAAACTAATAAATTACAATATAAACAAGAATATAATCAATTATAAAGTAAATATAATACACAAAAATCCTTATTTACTGATGGGTCCAAGGATGGTGGCGCAGTGTCTTGTGCCACTGTCATTGGATCCAGAACAGCATCTTCTCGACTACCAAATAACAGCTCTATTTTCACAGCAGAAGCGGTGTCGGCCTGGGAAAACGAAATTTCAATATTCCCTATTCCCGGTAAAGCGAAAACCAAAGGTGTGCTAGAAGTGCCGCTAAATCGAATTGCTATGAAAACATCGGATTACCGTACATCAGATTAGCGCGCGATCCCAATACTCGATCTGTGAGCCTGTTATCTGAGATGAAGTGTAAATTGTTTCAAGTTTCAGCACGTACGTGACCCCACATGTGAAAGGAATACGAGATCAGGTCATAGTGACCCAACCACCGCAATCGACAATGCTGTTAGATGTATCACTGATATGTTCAACAAAGAAGAATCTATCTCTCTAGAGAAACGTTTTCCGCCAGTTCAGTAAGATATACCAATGGAAAAATTTAAGAAAGCAAAATCCGAATTAGAAAACTTTAATAAAATAAAGACTGAAGGCTCCTTTATGAGATCAAAGCCAAATGGAATCAACAAGGGGAAAAGGCATCATAAATTCAAATATAGACATAGAAATCTGTCCTGAAACTACGCAAGAGTACACCATCCTACATGCTCTACGGAGAAACTGGACGAATTCCTATCTCTCCCTATATTAAAAAGTGAATAATTTCACAATGTTTTATCGCAAATGCTAGAAAATAATATGTATGCTTCACCATGGCTTGCTAATGTCAAATTTCTAGTAGTACCATGACTACGGTATCAGACGACGACTCACATTTCTTTGTTTTCTTCTGTATTGAGAGTCCCGGGAACGCTAAATTCAGTGTTCACTGTAGCTTGACCGTTCCCGCGAAAGCGACACCTAAATTAAGGTGGTTTGGTCCAGATTTCGCTTTCCCGGGGCCATAACCGCAGAAGCTAATGCCATATTAACAGCTCTTCAATATGTATAATACCGTAAATATAAACAATGTATAATCTTTTCCGATTCTCTTTCGTGTCTTCAGGCTATTAAAAATCTTTCTTGTAAACATCCTCTTTTATTAGAAATTATTGAATTGTATAATGAGCTTGCTACTGGCCAATGCGACATCGTTTTTTTGGTTACCCGGCCATGTTGGCATTTCTGGGAACACAATGGCTGATCTTGCTGCTAAGGCAGCACTCAACAGATCTGTGACACCACTTCTTATTCCATACTCCGATTTCAAGCTAGCATTTGAACTTACATCCGTGATCTCTGATTCAGAAGAAGTGGGACACTCAAGTAGGTATAAATAAATTACATGAAATAAAACCATATATTGGTTACATCTACTTGGGTTGTCAGTCCAGATTTGAGGAGGTCATCACGCGACAATCTAGTAATTTTACTGTCCTTCGTTGACAGGGTATTATATATTATATGTATGTGTTATGAATTTAGAACTAAAGTACTGTCGGAAATGCTAGAAAAATGCTTTTTGACTTATATTTAAAATTCAGAGGTATTACAGTTACTTAAATAACAAATATCACTTTAAGAAACATCTACCTAATGTAGACCGAGGGAATAAATTTTTAGACATGCCCTAAAATGCGTCTTTACTGATGAAAATACCAAAAACTTAGAACAATAAGGGCTAGTGGGACGTTATTTGATACAAACATTAACTGCCTGTGTTACGTCATCAGCATGCATGGTATCGACAGGTGAAATTGACACCTGAGCACACGCTCGGGCGAGGGGTCATCTCAATAGATGTTTTCTTCAAAATGTTGAATATGTGTACGTATAGTATACGTATTAGTTATGTGAGGGATCATTTGTGTATGTGTGTTTGTTGTGAAATAAACATACGAATTACTGTACATTGGAAAGAATCCTATCACTTGTGTTATCTTATCGATTGATTGTAGAAATGTGTAACTTTTTAATTAATGTTTTGCATGTCAACAGTATATTTCATTGCAAAAATATGGATGTACTTCGGTCAGTTTAATCTAGTTGTGAACATTGGCCAAAGATTTAACGAAGTCACTGGTGTAGCTACTTTAGAATATATATATTCTTCTTCTCCTAAAGTTTGTAGACCGCCCGTCTAAGTACTCCCTTGTCAAAGTTGTCAAGGATGGTTTTACGTCCCGGTTTTGCTTTTGAGACGGTCTCTGTCTTGTCTGATTTGTTTACAATATTGTAAACTTGTTGGTAAGACATACCAACAGCTCTACAAGTTCTGTATTAAACCATTTCTATACCAATGAAAGGTTTACCTCTGTCTTTTTCAAGCACAAAAAAACTTATAAACCTTTGCAACAATCGTCTGCAAATAGTTGGCCATAGTGGACGCTGCGATAAAGATGTGCATGCATGATGGGAAACTTATTTATCAAGACTTAACATTTATATTAATATTTCTTCAATAAAGAAACGATAATTAAGTTAAGTAACACAAACATGCAACATTTATTTGTTTAAGAAAAACGTTAATTTATATTTTTACACCACCTGTATTATTAGCATAAATGTAAAGACTATTTCAGATTTCTGTTGTTGAACTCTGAAAAAATCCTAAGTTGTTGTTTTGGTACCAAATTCTCTCCTGTAAACTGCCCTTTAAATGTATGGGAATGTTAAATCAATTGAAATAAAAACTAGGTACACTAAAGGCGAGTTGATATATTGACAACATAATACATTTATCACCTTTATAAAGATATTAAGGCTGAAAAGCATTTTTCTAGCATTTCCGACAGTACTTTAGTTTTAGTCACGACATGGCTGAAATATTGCCGATATGACTTTAAATCTTAACTCACTCACTCACTATAAATTATATATTATTTATTCTATTACCAACACGTTTGATAGTCGGCCTACAACACTGTTTTACTGATATACCAAATACCACAAACAAGATATGTTTATTTGTAACCTAACCTCCTTAAAATGGGTCACTTGAAAGCGATACCTTCATTAAGAATGTAATTTCCAAGACGTATACAGTAAGCTGAAGCGTGAAGAATATTTGAGATATTATCTAGTAAATTTCCATTGGCTAAAATTTCAATATATTAAACAGCAGTTGACATAACTCTATCCATGTTACAACCGGTATTCTACAATATTTATGAATTGGAAATTGACTTGCATGTAGTTACTGATTGCCACAAAACTATCGTTGGGAACTGTGTTCAGTTGCTTTCAAAAAGAAGTGTACAATAGAGCTAACAGTTTGTTGGTATTGGCTAGCTGGTAAACGCATCACTCAGCAGTATTCCCGCTAGGTGGCGTCCGTCTGTAAATAATCGAATCTGAACCAGATAATCTAGTGATTGATCACAACAATCCTATTATGAACAACATATGCATCGATCTACCCAACTGGGGTATGGTGACATGTGTCAACCAAGTCAGTGGGCCGGACCACCAGATCCCGTTAGTCGCCTCTTACGACAGGCATGAATGCTGTAGATCAATTCTAACCCGGATATTCACGGGTTAGTGCTGCAAACAGAAGATGTACAGATAGATAGATACTAGTAGTCGGACAGATGCCTTATCACTGACGATGTATGAAAAAAATTTACATGTTAATATACTCCTGTTCCATCTCAAATTTAATCATCTGCTCTTCCATTGTGGATGAACAAGTGCCGTAATATGTATTCTTAAAGGCAATGTTATTGTTACATCAATTGAAGGAAGTGTGACGATACCATTTGCTTAAACAAGATAGGATATGATCATAGAAAATATTTTAAGGTTGAGTCGGTCTCATCATATCACACTCAGATGGTTAACTCATTCGAAATGTGAGACACACATGCCACCTCAATCAGGATCAAGGGGCGGTTATTGCAGCGTTCGCTCGTCACGCAGAAGACACGGGATCAATTCCCCACATGGGTACAATATGTGAAGGCCATTTCGGGTGTCCCTTGCTATGATACTGCTCGAATATTGCTAAATGCGGCCGAAAAACTAAACTCACTCACTCGGTAGATGAATATCTGTAAGTACGTTGGGTCCCTGTTATCAACAAATAATGAAACACTTTTAAGAAATGTATGTAAATATATCTTTCATGCTTATATAATCAGAGCAATCAAACTCCAATAAATGTTCTTTAAACCACATATTTGTCCATTTTAAACGTTTATAAAGGTGTGTATATATGTTTATATTAAATATTATATTTATACTGACAAGACATCTATTTGTACAAATAACACGTGTATTATTGATATGTATGCCCTTTAAAGTGTATCTATATTTGTAAACAAATGTATGTATGCTGTATATGGGCCTGTGGCCTACATACGGAATAAAATACTTGACTCACATTAAAACATGAAAACTAAAAAAGGCGCAAGGAAACATTCAATGGCGACTTACCGTGAGCTTGGTGACACGAATTACTTCAGTTTTCAAGCCTACCCTTGTTTTTTTTTATGTTTTGCCACGATACTGGTTGCCATGAGACAACGCAGAAAAGTCGTAAGGAACTTTAAGAACGTTAATAATTCCACACAACATAACAGGAAGTAGTGATTTGTGTTTCCGAAACATTCCAAGATGCCTCTACTGTTGAATTGATGCTACTTTGAAATAAAGACCCTATTTCTACTTATAAATTATTACAGTACTGACGTTTATTTTTAAGGATATGGAACATGATATATCCTGTGTGAAGAACAACCTTTTTTCATCAACTGATGACGTTCTTTTAAGCTACCTCAGAAGCATTCGAGCGATTTGATGGTTATCATCAGCAACTGGCATTCCAGCAATGTGACGGTTATCATCAAAAACTGACATTCCAGCAATGTGACGGTTATCATCACCGACTGACATTCCAGCAGTGTAACGGTTATCATCACCGACGGACATTCCAGCAATGTGACGGTTATCATCAGAAACTGACATTCCAGCAATGTGACGGTTATCATCAGCAACTGGCATTCCAGCAATGTGACGGTTACCATCACCGACTGACATTGCACCAATGTGACGGTTATCATCAGCAACTGACATTCCACCAATGTGACGGTTATCATCACCGACTGACATTCCAGGGGATCGAGCACTAGTCTTTGGCATGACGAGCCAACGCTTTAGCGAATCGGCTATGCCCAATAACATTGGGAGAGGTATGTAGTGAGGGAAGTGTAAATGGCATCGTCCCAATAATGAGGCCTCTAAACTTTGGCAGAGGACCTTGGAAAGGGCCTTCCATATCTGTGGAAGGACAACTGGCAGAAGAAACCAGGACGTTTGTTTGGTTGGTTGGTTATAATGTGTCTTCAGCAGCCCAGGATTGTCGCGAGTGTCGCTAACGGGACAGTGTAGTCAGGATTGCCGACGTGGTTGACACTTGTCAATTCCCAGTTGCGTAGATCGATGTACATGTTTTTTCATCATATACTAAGCAGCAAAAGAAACGTCATTTTGGAATTTTCCTTCGCAGAAACGTATAACTGTAAACTCATTCAATGTTTTGATTGTATATTTGATTGACAACATCTCCAACTTTACCTGGGAAAGACATTCCATCCCAAACTCAGAATGGAACCCAGGAAATGGTCTCACAAACGCAACCTTATCTCGGAGATGGTACGGTGTTCTCCATGTTTTTTCATGCAACTCATGCTGCACGTGCTGTTCACAAGGACCAGCCCTATAAAATGCACTCCCAAACCTGGTTAAAACATTCCCATTACAACGTCAGGATGCCGCTCTCATGACAGCTCAGAGGAACCAGGCGCTAGGAAGACTAGAAGCTGGCCACATTGCATAAGCCTTTGCCATCACTTCCAGGTCAACGTTCGGACCATCTACAGGCTGAAGCAACGTTTCCGGGCCACCAACACCACAAATGAAAGCCCACGCACTGGCAGACCAAGGGTGACAACAAGACTACAAGACCGCCATGTTGTGCGACAGCATGTACAGAATCCCTTCATGCAGGCATCGGAAACAGCACGCCAGACAGGAGGAACACACGGAAGACCAATCAGTACTGATACAGTACGCCGACGTCTTAACAGCGGGAACCTCCATTGCCGTAGACCTTACCGTGGACCGATCCTCACCCCTCGTCATCGGCGTGAACGTTTGCCCTTCAACACCAAAACCGGCGATACAGGCAATGGAGAACTGTTCTGTTCACAGATGAGAGTCGGTACTAAGTACCAACTGCAGATGGCAGAACAAAAATATGGCGACGACATGGCCAGCGTTACTCAGACCAATGTGCTATGGAAAGAGACTCATGGGGAGGTGCATGCATCATGGCATGGGGTGGAATAGGCCTGAACCAGAGAGTGGGTCCTGT